CAAACTTGTTTAAGTACAGATGGATATCAGTTCTCAACTCACGGAGGTCTTTACCGGAGGTAAATACCGAAATACAAATTGCGAAATCGAAATTTTATTAAGTGTGGGTATGTCAGCAACATAAAGGTTGAATAGAGTGAGGGGAATCTTGTGGAAGGCCTGCGTTTATTGTTCTAGGGTTCGATAAATTCGTTGTTGACAATGAATGAGAAGGATATATTTTTCAAAAAAATTGACTTTTCGTACTGTAGAGTGCCTATTTGAATGTGTGTATATTGGAGAGGTAGGTGCCAGATTTGGTCAAATGCTTGTGTGATACAGCTATTGTGTGATGCTTTTTTTTAATTTTTTTTGGAAAGCGGAATAAATGAGCTCTGAGATTGTTAGTAAATGATGTTTTGTAGATATTTTTTAGTAAAACCGAACTGTGCCCTGGGGATGACGTTGTTGCTTGTAGGTGATATTTTATTCTTTTTAATATATTTTTTTCGAATATTTTTGGAAAAGTGGATAATAAACTGATTTGGACGGTAACTCTCAGGACTTGTTGTGGTTTTGTTTAGCTTTGCTATGGGGATGATAGTTACGTGTTTCGAATTATGAGGGGAATTCTATTCTGAAACATGAATTGAATATATTGTTTAAGTAAGCTATGGACGCTGATCGAAGTTTTTGTAGAGTTATGTTATTCTTATTGCGGTGGCCTGGGGCTTTTTTTATTAGGAATGTTCTGAAATTTTGAAATTTCAGTGGAAGATGAAAAATTAATTTTCTTATACGTACCGAAAAAGTTTAATTGTGTGGTATATACCTGAGGTTGTCTTTAAAGGTGAGATTGAGTTTTTTTTTCAAGATTTTTTTGTGAATTGACACAACGTATTGTTGTTGGAGTTAAGTGATTGGATTAGGTTAACATACTGCCCATTATTGTTGTTTTTGATAAGACATTTTACCACGTTTGTAATTAGATTCAGTTATTTATTTAGTTCTGTTCTTAGGTGCGCCCAGAGTCTTTTTGTTGTGTTTTTTACGGATATTGCGTTTCCGTGGTTTCTGCAATCAATACTATTCGAATGGCGGAGTAGCACCCTAACTAACGGGCCGCGGACCGCGCGCGATCATTCATTCCCCTTCCTTGTCCTTTCCTCCCCCTTTACATACTGACACACTTACATGCACTGCAGTACCACACATGTCGGGAGCATAGAGCTTGTCGCGGGTAGCGCTTTGTCCCGCTGGTGGGAGATGCTTGGTTGGAGAAAACCCCGTGAGCCGACGTATATGTCGGCGATGGATCTCGCCATCAAGCGGGGGAAAGATCACCACCACCTCCCGCGATAAAAACTTTCTCTTCACTTACGAAACTAATGACCTTAGGAGTTGACGTGCCCGAAATCATTAATCAATCAATCGATTACTATGGTAATTAATCCATACGAGTAGTGCACGTCATACCTGGGGAGGTGGTTGTGTTCCTCTCCCACTGGGACGTGAGATCCGTTCCAGAGGTCGGCTTGCAGGGTTTCCCCTCCTAGGTATCCACACCCGTCGGAACAACCTCTAAACTCTCGTCTGGTATCGCGATAGTAGGTCTCCCATTTGGCAGTATAATGCATGTAAGGGTGGGTATGTGTATTTGAGTAAGAAGAGCGGGAGACAAGGATGTGGAACAACAAATCGCGCGCAGTCCTTGCCCAGTTGTTTGAATACAGATCCAACATTCGCGTGGTATTGATCGGAGAATCTACGGAAAAACAACGATCAAAACAGTGGAGTTGCTAAAATTCTCCTCGAGATAGTGGTTAACTTTCAGATATCTGTAGAAAAAGGTCGAAAATCCGCCGTCGGGTGTAGAGGTCTAGGAACTCCCGATCAGCAGTGTTGCTACTGAGTCATCGCAGCCAGAAGATTATTTAGAGACGACATATGCTCGAGGTAGACGTGTTCTGTGGTCGGCTGTATGAATCCGTTTTTTAGGTATTACATTATCTTATTGTGTGTAGATGTCTCGGAAGAAGTGGTAAGAACGATTCTTTATGTTAAAAATGGATGGTACAACAACCAAATCCCAAAAATTTTAGGCAAATAGTTTACTCATGGCAGCGAATGAATTAAATATACTATTTTTTTTCAAAGGAACCAGCAAAGATAATTGTTTTTCCAATCCAACGTACTATCTGAATCAATAACAAAGAAAATAGTTCGAGAGGAAAGTAATGTTATCTATCAAGATAAAAGCGACATACTTGGCTACAAAAATGAGTGTCTCGTCCCCAACGAGCTCATAACTCTTCATGTATCGAAAATGTTCGGAGAATCTGAAAACGCGACAGAGCTCAGTGACGTCCACGAACGACCCTGCGAGAGATTTGCGCAACATAAGAGCGAGTATTGCCGCAAAACCACTGCAACGTTATGCTGGGTCACTTCCCAAATGCTTTGCAGCTGGTTTCAGTAAGAAAATCGATGTTTCGTCGGGGTTTTACACCATATAGTTTTTAACTCCAATATTAATTGTGAAACTCGTTTGATTCATTACGGAACGCGTTTTTGAAATCAATTCACGAAAAAGCAAACTGGGCGAGCAACACATTATGTTAAGTGTCAACGCATTATGACGGTAGCGGAAGTTACCCTTTCCCAAATGAAAAAAATAGTTGTAACGCCATGCCACAAATATTACTTCATGATCCTTTCACTTCGTTTACTTTTTTATGAGATCGAATTTTCCTTTTGAACTTACTACCAGCTTTTCGGATCGTATGCCCCACGAGCGCAACGTCTTGAGCGAAAAGCGCTCAGGGGAGAAAGCAGAGGCCCGGCGCTCGATGCATCGGCGCGGGGGGGCTGCTCTGGGCGCCGACGTCAGGACCCGAGGCCCAACGCGCGCACTTCGTGGGAAAAGCCAGACCAAAGGCTGGCCGCCTGGAAAAAAATATAGTGGCATAAAGTGACAATTTGCAACGGTGGCCCACTAAAAATAACACGATGTAGGTGTTGCTGAGATAAATAATGCAATATTTTTAAAAAATGCTTCATATACACTCCCGCTCGAAAGAACGCTTCTATTAATTTCAAATTTGTGACGAAAATAGATTGAGAGAGTAATAATACATTTATACCCTGTGAACAACGGCCACTGTGAAATAGAAACTGAGCAGAAACTTGCAGTTCAAACTCCGTAGAACACGACAGCAATCTGTGGTTTTCCCAAGCACCTAACAGTTTGCATCAATGAATCATCTTGAGAAGGGATATAAAGGTCTCCAAGTAATGTTTATCTGTCCTGTGATTTGGCTCAACAGCCCGATACAGGACGTGGCCGCCCAGCGGAGGCCCAGCCTCTCGGCCATGGGATACGGAGTTCCCTCCACCGTATACATTGGTATTCTTAACCATAGGGTGGGGATTCTCATCGACGCCCAGCAACAAATACTGGGATATTTGAAAGAAAAGCGCACACTTATAATTTTGCCCCGGCCGAAAATCGAACCCGGGTTGCGCCGTGGAAAGAGCGCTAACCAACGAGTACCGAGGGCCTAATTTTTCTACACAAAATAAATTGGGACATAGACCGTACTTCAGTGCCCTGAATTTGGGTCAAGGCCAAAAGCAACGCGCCGACAAAAAACAACTTTAATCAAAAACTTTGACTGGAGGTATGTGTTTCAATTACTTTTAAGAAGGTGCTAATTTTGGTATCTGGCTGCATTTAAAATTCCAGCTTCTCTGTGACGCAAACTGGTGCATGGCGCTCATTGGATGAAGCTGGAAAGACTGCGCAACGGCCATCCCATGTCTTTGCGTCATGATCTGGCGCTCGGTAGTTGGGACTCTGCCAGTTGAGTCACAAGTTCAATTGTAAAACGCTAAATTACAAAAGCAGCGAAGAAACGATTTAACAAGGAGAATAAACTAGGTGGAAAAGAATAATTGAAAAGCGCACTTTACTTTATGTTGGCGGAAATTGCGAGACTATTTTCTATTCTTACAGCAAATGTATCAAAAGAAAGAAATTTAAGTGTACCTAATACATCTTATGTTAGATTCTAGTGGTGCAAAGAAAGCACATACTTTCTTGTATTTCTAACTTGTGCAATTTTCCAAAGTTCAGAAAGTTCAAAGAAAATGATATCAACACCATTGTTGTAGGCGTATTTTGCGCTATTCATAAAAAATGAAAATAAAATTTGGAGTCTTTTGAGGATAAAATTCATATATCATGCCTATATATCATGCAAAATAATGCGAAAACTACTCATGTTTTTGAAAAATTGTACATGACTGTATGTTAAGATATTTCTTCGAAAACTAGATTTTATTTAAAAAATATCCATCTTTAGTACTGTAGTTGTAGGGTAAAATCGAAAAATTTTGAACTGTTGCAATTTTTGAAAAAGCAGATATTTGAACGCAAACCACACCAACCCTATTCTTTACGCTATCCAAGGACAAAGTTTAATGAAAAAATCAAGCTAATTTTTAAAGAACATTGAAGAAGTTGATGTTTCGTGTAAAGAGTCTCTAAAAGTAAAAAAATAATCTCTTTCAAACTCGTAAGGCTTCGAGTTCGTTTAGATAGATCAGGGACAACAATTTGGAGAAAATTTGCTGAACGTTTAGGCGCTAGCATTGACCACAAACAGTCGTTTTCTCGTCAATCAAAGACCCATAAAACACATATTCTGACTATACAGCTTGTTAGAGGATATAATTTACTACAGGTAGGACCAACATGTATCCACTTTTTCGTTCAGGGTTAGGGTTAGAGCCCGAGAAAACCGTCTGTTCTGTCGTTTTTTGTCTGTGTGATGTCGACACACGATGACAAATATTTCTCCTCTTCTACCTCTTACTTAAAATTTCTACTCTTAGGCGGAAAAAAGTAAAAAGACTCACGTTGAACCTGCGTTCTTTGGAAGAGCAATGTGCAGTCCCCCTGTTGGCCCTCAGGCTACGGCAACATCGCCCCGGAGACGTTCTGGGGCCGCGCCTTCTGCATGCTGTACGCGCTGGTGGGCATCCCGCTCACGCTGACGGTGATCGCCGACATGGGCCGGCTGCTGGCGTCCGCCGTGTCGGCGCTGCACGCTCGCGCGCGCCGCCACACCGCCGGCCTGCCCATGCCGCCCAAGCTGCCCGCTTGGTGCCGCCGCTCCCTCACCGTGCTCGCCGCCGTCGCCTGCATGCTGCTCTACATGGCGGCGGGCGCCGGCTTCATCTGCCTCTGGGAGGACTGGAGCTTCTTCCAGGGCTTCTACTTCTGCTTCATCACCATGACCACCATCGGCTTCGGTGATGTCGTGCCAGGTAAGAGTGTGGTCCACCGTTCGTCTTGGTGCACGAAGGGCTGCTCAAATGCACGAATTCGGAGCGAAATTCCTGCAGTGCCACTCATCCTTTTCTAAATCTTTCGATCGATCCCTATGCCTCTTTTGTAACAAAGCTCCCAAGCCGTTTTAGACAATTACGATGGAATAATTCTTCTTTAACTCAGTCATAAGTCACGTGCAGTAATTCTCCTTTAATAATGTCGTTTTCTGCCACGTCATTGCCTATCGGCCGAGGGCTCGATGCCGTTGGTTTAGTAGCCAATTGCAACTTTGCACATAACCTAATATATAAATATTATTACAAAGCATGATAGAAATATATGTCAATGCATTCACTTAATCTTGTTGCAATTCTAGTAGGTATAATTTAATTCAAGTTCTTTTGAGATCACTAACATTGTCTTGTGCACAAACGTAAATACGAAATTAATCGTCACTTAATTCGAATAATACTTTCACTCCCAGTGAATTTAGACTTTCATTTCGAATACATAACTCAGCCCATTAAAAAAATTACCATCAGATTCCAATTCACACCTAATTTCTGTGAAAAGACTGACGAGTATCTGCAGAAACTGAGCGAGCACTGCTCGCTGCTGCTCGCCGACCAGGCATACAATACCAAACTCTTGAGTCGTTCTCTCTGTGGCGGCCGGGAGACGGGCGGGCACCCCCTCCTGCCCTCAGCACAGAGCCCTTTCCACTTCCTGCCCCCCCTCCCCCGCCATCAGCACAGAGCTCTTTGGGGTCATCTGACAAGGTACCTTGCATCTGTGACCTGTAACTGCTCTGCAACGTGTATAGCCTTGAGGAGGGGAACAGGTCCGTTTATGAAGCATCATCACCTTTTCGGCAATCACAGGCCGGTTAGTCCAGCAAGGTTGACTTTTATCTTAGATGCTGTCGCATCCAGGAAAATACATAACGCAAAAATATTTCCGTTTACCGCAGCTAGGTTTTGTGTAACTATTGAAACCTTGTTGCGATTTAAGGGTTCCTTTTTTTCAGTTTGGAAATGAATGGTTTTGACAATAATTGGTAGTAAAACGTTCCCTCCCGTATAATATTGATTGATTGGAATTGGGAATGGGCGGACGCTGGAAGCATGCAAGGAAATAAATATAGGAGGAAATTAACTAAATATCAGGGATTTATTATTCGGGGTAGAGTTCGGTTCCGGTACATGAAAATATGTGAAATCAATTAAGAACAAGAAAAACACTGTCACATTTCACTTCAAAACAATTGAAAACTTCTTATGAACTCATTAAACGAACTATTCATTTGAAATTCTTCTTGATGTTACGTGATACATTCATTGTAATCACATTCATCAGGAAACAGTATCAACAGCTCACTACAGAAAATTCACATATAATACATGTGCATTATTTTACACCACCTTGCCAAATGACATTAAACGATTAAATTCGATACAAAAATTTAAGTCCCAAGTAAAATCTTTTCTGCTGCACAACTGTTTCTATACAATTAGTGACTTTACTGAGTATCCAAAAGGAAAGTAATATTAATTTTTAAAATGACATTTAATGTATTATATATTATTTGGATTGTATAACTGTAAAGAACCTGTAACAAGTTTTGTACTTCAGCTTCTGTGTCAATGACACCATCTCGATCAGGTTTTCGTCCAGTTTCCCTGATCCTCGAGCAAATGCTGAGATGGCCCCTTGTTTTTCTTCTGGACATAAATGTAACTTGAAATTAACTTCTCCCCATAGCGCGTCACACACAGTTTTAACTGTTTTTGGCGTAAATATATAAATAAATAAATAAAAATGATTTGGCAGATATTACTTACCGGTGAAGGAATGTAATTACGGTTTTTGATTTGCCCAACGCGTACCATTATCCAATTCTCTTGCACCCTCTAGTTTAGTGCGGATCGGTACCCATTTAAAATTGGTGTGCTCGATTTGTCTATCTATGAACTTGCAACGATTCAGATCTCAAGAATAATCAGATTATAGCTACGTAAAACAAACTTTTGTTTAATTTCGTACTCTCCCGGCCATCGGGTATTAGTGAAAACGTTTATCGGAATTCAGTTATTATATTGTCCGTTCTGAGTCTTACGATTTCGATTAAGAATTTAACAAGCTGCTTGAGTAGATCATGTCTTCGTTGGCCTCATATTGAGTTTCAAATCACAAGGAAAGTAAGTGTAAAGTGAGTTACATTTGACTGTTCTAACGACGAAAATACTTTCTAGATTCATTAAAATATCTACATATTATAATTTCTTATAATATATTTTCTAGCCAGTCACTTCTTTCCCATATTTATGAGAAGCAATAGACTTCATTCTGCAGTGAACCGTTGTAAAGTATTCTCTCTGCTGTGTTCTTGTATTAGAGAAAGGAAACACGCAAAAATCTGTCAATTTTTCAAATATTTTTGCAGCAATACACTATTGTTTAATAGACGCGCAAAAGGATTCTAAACATGTTGTTCTCCAATGACTCGTACTAAAAATTCCATGACGTACGTAACTGCAAGTGCGTGCGTGCCTTGCGCTTCGAGGACACATTAAGAGGACGTGTACCTTAGGTCAATGTTTGTCTGAGTAGTTGTGAAAGGTAACATAGCTCTATCATCTGTTTCTTTTTCAAGATTCAACTATGATTTATATATTAAATTCAAATATGCAACAACTCTGAAAATGAATTCAAGATAATTGTTTTATCGCTTTTATTAAAGTTAATTAAGTGCAATTTAATAAAGTAACTTTACTACATTACTCGTATATTACTAAAGTGTGTTTATATCTGAAGTATGTGGCACTACGATTAGTAGCAATCAATGTATATCGTTTGACATCCCTGCTAGTTAATTTCGAGAATGCCGCACCGTAATACATAAAACAGTTAATCAAGGTTATTCGCGATACAATAATCACCATTTACGTTGTTAATATTCCTGCGTAGAAATAAAATGTGTTGTAGTGTGAGGTACTGTAAATGCGAGTAAGGGAGACATATCTATTGTCAGCCTTCAAGTATATGTGTTTTTCTAATAGATAGAATTTCTTCTGATTATCGGAGAGTATCCAAGTAATGATACGTTACACGTAAAAATAGAATGGTATTTCTTGAGCATCTTTAGCACATTTGCGAAAATAATCTAGATGCTGTAAAAAGGTCTATGAGAGAGAAAGTTTCCAGCCTAATTGCTATGAAGATGGGTATGAACAGAAGACTTGACGTTTCAGATGATAGAAAGACCCAGTGATAATTTCTGTGATTGGCATCCAGACAATCGGCACACTTGAGTTAATTACTATTGTAAAAGGAGACGTGTTATTTCGTATGATGTATTGGAAGAAGTAGCCAAGTATTGTGCTCACCGTGGTATTATGAAGCACTCTTCTAATATCGTTCTAGGATTGCAATACTGGCACAACACAAAACATACAAGAATTGAGTTCTGGACCTTATGTATTAACATTTTTATAATTTTTATTATTATCATCAAACCATCAAGAATGAACCATTAGACCCGTTCTCCTTTAAAATTGATCCCGCCAACTTTTCGTCGGTCTTCCCTACGATCTTTGCCTTTTTGGTGTAGTTATCAGTTTTGTCATTCTTGTATCAAGGCAAACGGTCCTCATGGTCTTTCCAATTATGTTGATATTGTTTAATGGTTTCTAAGATACTCTGTGTTTTGAATTCTGTTCTGATGTCGTGGTTCCTCTTTTTGTCCAACAATATATAGCCAGCAACATATCTTAGGAACCCCATTTCAATGGCTACAGTTCTACTTCCAACGCTTTTCCTTCGTACCTAATAATCGCTGCCATATAGTAATGTATTGCCATTATTATATAGAACTTTAAAAGGGTTTCTTTGTGGACATTCCTTTCTAATAATTCACGGATTGTTTCACAGAAATAGTTGAATTGGTTTAGTTTAGTATCTATTTCTTTAGTTAATCCATAAGTTCAATTATTGCTATTGATGGATGGGATCCTAAAAATGCTATGGTTTTTTTTCGTGGCGGATATCTTCAAGTTAATATCACTGAATATATTATTTATTTTAAAAATTGCTTCTTGTAATTCATTTCCATTCCTCAATATGATTACTTAATCGATTGCAAAGTAAAAGGTCAACTAGTTTGTAACATATATTTCAGAGACTGATGCCAATTTTTTTATACATTGGGCATACTTGGACCGTATTGCATTCCACTCTGCTAAAACATTCTTATATATTCTAAAATTATAATTTTAGCAATATTTGAAGCATATTTAATTAGTTCTATGTTCATTTTATCACCTCTCGGTGTTTTCTTATTCCTCCTATAAGCCAATGTCTTTTCTAGTTCTTATAAAGTTATTTGATCGACATTGGGATAAGCTTCGGCGAGAATTATACTCGTACTATTACTAATTTTTATTAATAACACAATTCCTATTAAGCCTTTTGACAATGCTTACTTCATAGCCCATCAATTATTAAGAGCGAGATTCTTGCAATCCAAACGCCAGCTAAAAATTTCAACGTATTTAACTCAAACCTTCATTTTTACAGTTTGTCAGTATTGACGTCTATAAACTATTTATTACACGACGAAACTGCAAATAAAATATACGTACAACCTCCGAATTAACGTACTATATTACACAATTCTCCAGGTGGAAGTTTACCATATTTATTTTGAGGGGAAGAGCGCTCTTTCAGTCGTCGTTAGGGTTTCTAAATGCCCGCAACACGGCCAATGGAGCTCTCTGCCAAGAAACATAAATGTGTGAAACATCTGCTCATGTGGTTGAGTTCATTTAGTTATGGCCTCAATAGCCACGCTATAAATCCCAATGTATGAAACGACATCGTATCGCTTATGTAATGGAACTGACACGTAACTGTAGAAAATGGAAGCATTTTTTCATAAGTCTGAGCTCAGTCTTTTGTCATAATTATGAGACGATTTTAATGAGTCAGTCAGGAAAAC